GGCCATCTTGAAGACTAGCCATTTGTTGTTCACTACTTGGCTCACTTCATTGGCTTCCAGTTGCTGCCCGCATCAAATTCAAAACCCTGACACTTGCTTACAAAACCACAATGAGAACAGCTCCCTCCTACCTGAACTCTCTCATTCAGATCTAGACTCTCTCCCGCCCACTACGCTCTACCAACAAAAACCGCCTGATACAACCACCACAGCAGGGCCCGAGGTCAATAGCTAGACTCTTCTCCTCTGTGGTTCCGTAGTGGTGGAAGGAGTTACCAAACTCTGTTCAATCTGCTGACTCCCTCTCAGTCTTAAAGAAAAGACTAAAGGCCCAGCTCTGAACACCTTTGCTCTTGAATGCCCGAAAACAAACAAACAACAACAAAAATTATCCTATTACCTCCCACACAGCCTGCTATGGCATCAACGCCCTATCACACTTGAATTTGTTCTATGGCACTTATCTAGACTGTTTTCTCCTGACTAGATCCTTGCTTGTGTTGTATCTGCTCTCAGATGTACGTCGCTTTGGATAAAAGCGTCCGCTAAATAAAATTGTAGAAGTGGCTCCCTTCGGCTAACGAAGCCTCCAAAAAAACACGCGGAATGATTTCATTGTGACACAGGAAGTAGTACTAACTGATTCCAGTGTGGATTTACCAATAAAATAAACTTTTCATGGCAAAACAGCTAAGGTAAGAGAAATTTTACAACTATAGTTTGATGTAGCGGTTTCGGTTTTTGCTGTTCTTTGGGTTATTTCTCACTGATGCTGATTTTAGAGAGCTTTGATGGCTATGTTTGGAATCTGCGGACTGAAATCGTTTGAGGGGTTGTTTGTGCGTTTTGCAAAAAGTACCAAAGCACTAGAATTTTGGTAAAGTGGAGACAGGGGAGGGGAAGAGTGCTTGTCCCTCCTGACATCCACCACCATCTCCTTGGTCTTCTTCACATTGATGCAGGTTGTTGTCTCTGCACCACTGCACTACTGCACCAGGTGTTCCACCTCCTCTCTGTATTTGGACTCATCATTGTCCGTGATGTGTCCCACTACTGCTGTGTCGTCTGTGAACTTCACTGTATGACAGCTGGGGTGTCTCGCCGAGCAGCCATACATCAGCAGAGTGAACAGGAGGAGGCTCAGCACACAGCCCTGGGGCGAGCCAGTGCTCAGGGTGATGGAGGTGGAGGAGATGGTGTTGTGGATCCTGACAGTCTGAGGTCGATTAGTCAGGAAGTCCAGGACCCAGTTCCCCAGTGTGGAGCTCAGTCCAAGGGAGGAGAGCTTGTGCACCAGGGTCTGTGGGATGATGGTGTTGAAGGCGGAGGAAAAGTCCAGGAAGAGCAGGCGGATGTATGAGTTTCTGCTCTCCAGGTGGGTGAGGACTGTGTGGACCACCGATGAGATGGCGTCATCAGTGGAGTGGCTCTTCTTGTAGGGGTATTGGTGGGGGTCCACAGTGACGTCGATGGAGTCTTTGATGTGCGTCATGACCAGCCTCTCAAAGCACTTCATGACCATCGGGGTTAGAGCTATAGGTCGGTAGTCATTTAGGCCTGTCACTGTGGAGCACTTGGGGACGGGGACAACTATGGCAGTCTTTAAGCAGGTAAGATGTAGTTTATGCAGACGCCACCACACACCTCTATAGTGAGGGTGATTGTTGTGTGTTGTGGTATTAAAGCCGACTGGCTTAAATCAGAACCTGGTTTTAATAATGAGTAGGGAGCAGGAGACAATACAGCAGGTACACACGGGCAGGTATCGGCGCATCAATACACACTGTGCATGTGCAGACCTACGGTATCAGTGACAGGTCAGTATTACTGTGTTCACAGTCAATATTCTACAGTGATGAAATTAAGTTTAAGTAAACATGTGGGTGTCGCAACACCCACATCCCCCACAGGTGCGACGCCCATGCCAGTGGTTCAAATGAACATGTAATAGTTACAGTTTTCACTTGCTTTCACTCAATGGAGGCCAGAGAGGAGACTGTGGCCGCCCGCAGGAGAAAAAACCTCCCACTCACAGACCAATACTAGCATCACTTTTCAACTTACAGTCACTAGTTTTGTCTCCAGGCGCAAAGTCCTTAACGGGGTCTCAAAAGTCGCTAAATCTAGTGACAAAGTCAACTGGAAGCACTGGGCTGCAGAACTGCTCTAAGTGGAAATGCAAATGTGATTGCCTGGTAGCGTCAGGTGGGGAGCTGTGCTGTGCTGCGCCGGCTTGAAGCAGAGAAGCGCTATGCCTTAATGCTGCCCAGAAGATCAGGTGACAACAGACATGCATGTGCATAACTTTTAATCCGTTTGCATTGACAGGGGGAGGATAAATAATTTTCGAGGATAACTTAACTGTTTCCAGGGCATTTGACCTTTTTTTCTCATTTTCCATATGTTTTCCATGACTGGAAAATTGCTCAATCATTTTCCAGGTTTTCCAGGACATGTGAGAACCCTGACAATTCTGCAGTGAGTCAAAAGACTTCTTTTCCACAATACTGAACAACAAGCTCAATGGCAATTATTACAAATGATACAACACTGAGACTCGATAAACAAGACTTAGACCAGCTGTGTTATTAAAGGACATTGGATTCACTAAAGAACAGCTCATGTGTGCTTCATTTTAGGAACAAACTGAATGTCAACAGTGAGGAACAATACAGTAATTAATCTAGTAAAACACACAACAAAAGCTTCATCAAACTGTTTCAGGACGGACAGTGTTGAATGAACTATCTTAGTCTTTTATTTCAGTCTTCGTGCACAAATTAAAAGTAATCGGAGGGCTGATTAACCTTCTTTTTCTGATACTTCATTAACAGTCTCCCTTTTACTCTACAGTCTGTGCAGATGTAGATCACAGTTTAGCAGCACAAACTGAATGATCAAAGTGGATGAGCTCCATCAAGTGGTAGAAGTTAAAATGTTGGGATTTGGATCAAAGATGAGCAAACATCCAGACAAAGAAACTATTCTGGAGTGTAAATCCACCAGTAAATGTGAAGTGCGCTGTCAAAAGTTTCCAGAAAGAAACAGTGAAATCTCAAAACATGGGTTCCAGAAAAAAATGTTAAAAAAACAATGAAATACTGTAACGTTCAAAAACTGTGAAAAAAAAAATAAAAATCTGTCAAATAAATAGATTTACTAGGTCATTTAGAAAACAGGAAAACAGTGTAATTGTATGTTCACACATTGCTAAAGATGTGTTTCTACTTACAAATCTAATATATGAATTTTTGATGTGGACATTACTCACAGTTTTAGCCTGTTTTTTGTGGTTAATATGTAAATTAATAGTCTTTTTCTGTGAATTTACTAGCTATATCTGGAATTTAACAAAACGGGGAAAACATTAATTCCCATTTTTCAGTCCTTAATATACGTTTTTTTTTTCTTTCAAACAAGAGCAACTTCTTGCTTATTTAAATACAGTACTAAGAGTTTCATTTTACAGTCAACTGTTCTAAAACAACAATTTACTATTTACAAAAATACAGATTTTTGATGTGATTTCCAGTTTTGGCCTGTCTTTTGTGGTTAACACTGTAAATTAATATTTTTTTGTAATTTTACTAGTTATTTTGCTTAATTTACTAAACAGTTAAAATCTGTAAAATAATCAATTCTTTTAAAAAAAAAAAGATAGATAAAACTGTTTGTACAGTGTATATAAGAGATAGAAAAGCATGCACATGACAGTCTTTTTTGTGTTTCACATTTAAAAAAAACATCTCAGAACAACTGATATAAAAGCTTTAAAAAAAAATGAAATTAAAAATCACAAAATTAATTTGTTGGCACTTTTGTCATCCTAATTAATAGTCAGTTAATTAAATAAGTAAATCCTAACCATATTCATTAAGGTATTCATCATAAACACTACCAAAAAAGGAAAAACCAAAATCCAGTCCAGTGTAAGCTACTGCAACATGCTTCAGTTTAAAGTAAATCCAATATGGTGTAATCATGAAGGAAACCTATCTTGTCATCTCTGTCCGGCATCAGACGGTGAGTCAGTGAACTGAAACTGTGGGTTTCAGCATTTGGGAGGTCAAACAGTTCAGAGGAGATATTAGCTGATTAGATTAAATGATCACATGTGACCAGTCAGCTCTGCAGGGCTGCATGTTCAACACATCTGTGCTTTTAGTTTGACAGGATGCACACTTTGAACATTTCTTTTAAATAGCATGTATATTAGCAGAGCATGATTCAAATTTAAAAGAAAGAAATCTTAAAAAGTCACCTGCAGTGTGGGCAGTTACTTATGCTCCGTAGGGCAGAGCCAGGGCGCTCATTCAGACATGAAGTCACTATTCATTCTGATGCAGGTTACATTTGAGGATTGCAGCACAGCATGAAAGGAGACGCAGCAATGTTGTGTTTAAATGTGAAAGTGTAATAAAACTATTTTCTGAAAATGAGACGTGATGTTTACATGTGCAAACATGAATAGAGGGTAACTTCAGCAACCCGAATATACATCATCGGAGTACAGTATCACACTCAGTCACAGATCATTCAGGAGTTTCTTCTCTCCAGCTGATCACGTTAAGTCAGTTTCACGAGTCACATTCATCCAGTTAAACTTTCCTTCATGTAACATCAGCAAATCAAGCTGATCAGCTGTATGTTTCTGGATCAGGACCTTCACTATTTCAATCAAGAGGTTTGTGAAAAACAATGTTTGTCAACAGATGTTGTTTCAGTGTGTCAGATACTTTTTAAATGTGTGGTTTAAATACATTCAATATCACACATTCAGTATTCAAAGACTTGTACGGAGACTGTAGGCAAAACAAATACTTGGATCCTTCTTGGATACTTCTTTCTTATTTGTGTATATGTCTGAGTATTTTTTTATTGTTCTTTAACCTTTACTTTGTATTTCTCACGCAGTAATATCTTTTTAAAACCAAAACCTCATTAGCTGTCCAGCACCAAACACACAATAAACACACATCACATGCAGCTCAGTGTCCTACCTGGTTGTCATGCTGCGCCACAAGTGAGCTCCTGTGGAAAAATAATTATATATCATTATAATTAATAATTATCCATCATCACTGACGGCGTCACATCAGCAGAAAAGTCCATAATAGTGACAGTAAAACACACAGTTTTGTCACATTTTTGTTGTTTTCTAAGTTGCAATGGCTCAAACAAAGCAGAATAAAACTCACACTAGGAACACATTTTTAAACCGGCTGATGAGTACACCATCGATAACAAGATGTCTCATCTTTATTCATCAGGCGAACAAGTTGACATCAGGGTGAAATCATCTGAAAATCTGAGCTGCACAGCTTGAAGTGTTATTTACCCTTGAAGAAGTGATTATACTGCTGAATATGTTCTTGATTTATCGGTTAAGTGTCTCTGCACAAAGCTTGAAAACAAAGAAGAAATCCTGCACTTCAGGTTTGCTCTGGATGAATCAGATCACCAGCGATCACAGGATTGAGATTTCTGTCCGACTTAATCCTGACTTGTTTTCATTTTGATTGAATTAGACAGATTTTTTTTTTATTTTTTTAATCTGATTTTGAAGTATTGTTTTGTGGTTGATAGTGATGTTTATCAGTCAATATGTAGACAACAAACAATATTTCTTTTTTTAACATCAGACTGATTTCATTCTTGAACAACGTGAGGATTCTTAAAATAACATCCGTACAGACATAAAGCTTGGATAGTCTTGACATCTGACAGATCAAAAGTGAATGCTGGTGTCTCCTATTTCTTACTATGTAAATAAACTGCAGTGTTCTCAGTTTATTTATGTTGTCTGAGAGGACATGCAAACTGATCTGATGCTTGGTTTCATGTAAAGTGGAGGTTGAACCATAAGCAGAGATTACAGGTCGTATGTGCAGCAGGCTGCACTGTCATAATAACATTAAGATACTTAACACAAACTCATATTATGTTTCTGATAACATTTCAGTAAACTGGTCTAGTTCTGTAAATTTCTTTACTTGGAGTGGGAAGTTGAGGAATATCCAATTTTTTAAGAAGCAACGCAAACACCAGCCGACGAAGCGGCACCAGTAAAGACACTCTTCATCCCAAACATCAGGCATCCAGAGTCCAGCGTTGATACCACGAGTGCACGTAATCGCAGAAATATTACACAGGTAAGCGATTACACGAGTTCTTCTTCACAGTTTCCTAAAACCCAACGTGAGGCTGTGTGTTATGTTTATGGTCAACTGTTCAGAAAATTGTTCAATTTGGCAATCTGATCAACATTTCACATCTGAGAAGCTCAAAAAAGTTGTTTTTTTTTAAACAATGAAGCCATTAATTATAGGTGAGTCATTGCAGCAAAGATATCAGCCAATAAAATCACTCACTATCAATATTGTTGAAGTAAACAAAGGCCTTAATGTTTGCTAAAGATTACATAACAAATGAGATTATCTACCTGTTATCCCTTTGAAAGGTAGATAATCTCACTTATCTACCTGCTATATTGATACAAGGTGGATAAATGAGATTGTCTAGCTTTGATCAATATAACAGTGTTCCCATATATCAATGACTTGGTGAATAAATTTACTAAAAGAAATGACAGACAAAACTACCAAAAATAAAAACACCAACATTGTAATAAGTAACAATTATCCTTTAAGCAATTTCTTCACTTTGGCAAAAACTATTAGTTTCTTTTCAATATCATTATCATTTGGTCTGAAAGAAGAAGAGAAGAGGAGAAAACTTTCTAAAGCTCAAGGTGACTTCTTTAAGTTCTTTTAGTTTCTTTTCACATAACATTAAGACAGAAGGCAAACAATAATATTTGAGAGGCTGAAACCAGATAAAGTTTGCTGTACGAATTGACCTGAAGCAATAAATGATTATTAGTTTATGTCCTTTAATTAATCAACTGTCCCGAGCAAAAAATAAATTAATAAAAACTCATAATTAACAGCAGGTTTCCTCATATTTGATATGTCAGATTGTGACAAAATATCGTGACCCTGCGCCACTGATATGAAAGGTGTTTGCTGTTACCTGTGGATCTGGACCTAATGACATCTCTGGCAGTCACCGTGACGACCAGCAGAGCCAGCAGGACGGCCAGGAGGCTGTAGGCTCGAAAAGAACCGAAGGCCACAAACCTGCAGAGAAACATTCTTTCAGCTGAAAATTGTTAAATAAATGTATGGCTAGCATTTAAATTTTTTTCGCTAAATGTGTAGCTAACATTTGAAAATTGTTAGCTAAAAGTCTGACAAGAGTGTGAAATTGTTAGCCAACATGTCGCAAACATTTCTAACCTTTAGCTTAAAATGTGACGAACGTTTGAAACTTTTAGTTAAAAAGCTGCA